TTCTAGGTAACAATCATGTCACCTACAAACAGAAAACTTTAATTTTTTCCTTCTTAATCTATATATCTATTTCTTATTCTTGATTTATTTTAGTGGCTGTTAACTTCCAGTACTATGTTGAATGAGAATAGTGATAGCAGACATCTTGCTTCATTCCCAATATTAGAGGGAAAGTATTCAGTTTTCCATTAATTACACCACTAAATATGATGTTACCTATAGATTGTTTTTTATATAGGTAATCTTTAAAATATTGAAGCAATTCCTTTATTTTCTTAGGAGTTTTACTGATGAGTATGCATTGGATTTTCTCAAATTCTTTTGTGTCATTGATGTAATCATGACTTTTCTTCTTTAATTTGTCAAAATGTTGGATTACATTGCTTGATTCTAGCATGTAAGCCAGACTTGCATTCCTTAATAAATCCCAGTTGGTCACAGTGCATTTTTTAGATATATTGTTGTTTTTGGTGTGTTAATATTTTGTTGAGGACTTTGTGTCTAAGCTCATGAGGGATGTGTATCTGTGGTTTTCTTTTTTGTGTTGTCTGGGTTTAGCAAAAGAGTAATGTTGTCTTCATGCAAGCGTTAACACAACATAAAGTGAGTTGGTAATTGTCCTTTAATCTATAATTTTCTGTAATATATGGGGCAAAATTGATGTGAATTCTTTAAATGTCTGGTAGAATTTTCCAGTGCAATCATATGGACCTGAAAATTTCCTTTTTAAGAACTTTTAAATTATAAATTTAATTTCTTATGGTTATAACACTACTCAAATAATCAGTTATATATTGGATGAATTTTTATAGTTTGTGGTTTTCAAGGAAGTGGTCCATTTCTTCTAAGTTGGTGAGTTTATGAGCATAAGGTTGTTTGCACTGTTTATTATCTTTTGAATGACTATAGCATCTGTAGTAATGTCTTCTAATTCAGCGCTGATAGTGGTGATTTGTGTCTTCTCTCTGTTGCTAGAAGTCTATCAGTTCTATTACTTTTCCCCCAAATACAAGCTTTTTATTTAGTTGATTTTCTGTTGTTTTCCTGTATTAAATTTCATTGATTTCTTCTCTGCTTATTATATCCTTCCTCTTCCTTTCTTGGAATTTATTTTGTTCTTCTTTTTCTATTTTCTTGAGGTAGAACTTAGGTTGACATTGTTGGTCTGAGATATTTCTTCACTTCTAATGCTATGAATTTTTCTCTCAGCACTGGTATAGCTGTATCTCACATTATGATATGTTATACTTTCATTTTCATTCAGTTGTGTGTATTTCTTTTTGAAATCTAAATATTTTCTAAATTTTATAATAAATTCTAAACTTGTGATTTTCTAAATTCTAAATCGAAATGTTGTCCAAATTCAAATAAGATTTGGGTGAGGCTCTAGATAGAATTTGTCCTTGGGCAAAATTGTCTCTGTGAGCCTGTGAATCTCAAGAATCAAATTACCTGTTCCCAAAATGTAATAGTGAGACAGGCATGGGCTGCCAGTTAGGAACATTCCTGTTCAAAAAGGAGAAAATGAAAAGAAAATGCAGTCAACGGTCTCAAGAAATTGTACAGCCTAGTGGAACAAATATTGTCTGGTTCCAAGGCCTGGAAATAAACCCCTGTTTATTCCCCCAGGTTATGTCCCATGGGGCACAGCTCTATGTTCTAGGCTCTCAAAATTATCCTTCTTCCTTCCTTCTTTTTTTTCCTTTCTTTTCTTTTCTTGTATGAAAATTGCATACACTTTCATCTGAAGAGTTTTATCAACCTGTTTCTTGCATGTAGCATTTTGGGAATCCCTCAACATCCTTTCATGTTTGGTCTCTTACTTTCAGTTCAGTATGGCTGTGTTTATGACACTACAATATTCTCAAAAATCCTGTAGATTGGAGATCTACATATATTGACATATATGTGACATCTATATGTTACAGAGACTCATTCTTTTAGACAAGAGACTCTTCCAAATATCTTTTCTAGATAATCCTACCTCAATTTTTGGCTTCTGCTGAGATACCTGAGGGAATCTGAGACACAATCTTTTCAAAGAGCCTTTTGTGTTACTGAATATTCTGAATTTTTTATCTTTCTAAAGCAAAATGTTATCCAGCCACACTCTTGGCTTTTTCACTAAAGCATGATTTCCTGATGGCAAGTATCTTAGTTGTAGTATCTTGCAGACTTAATGGAATAAGGATATTTCAAATCAGCAGGTCATAGTTGGTTTTTGTTTAAAACTGTTTTTTTTTCTTTTAGTTTATATCTTTCCTCTCATATTTCACCATAAACACCAATAAGAATTAAGGCCACACTTTCAAATTTGTATGGAAATTTCCTCATATGAATGTCCAATCTCTTCATTTACAATTTCTGCTTTCCACACAATTTCAGAACACAATTCCACTAAAGTTTAACCTGAGAGGTGTTAACATCTACATTTCTACTAACAATATGTTCAGAGTAACCTAAGTGTTTCTATCATACTCCTCAAAATTCTTCCAGCTTCTGCTTATTATCAATTGCAAATCCACATCCTTATTTTTAGGTGTTTGTTGTAGCAGCATACCATTCTTCAGACCAAAATCTGTATTCATTTTGTTACTATCATAATAAATGAACTCAGTGGCTTAAAACAACACAGAAGTTCTGACACAGTGTCATTGTGCAAAAGTCATGGTGTCAGCAGAACTGCATTCCTTTCTGGAGGCTCTGGGGGAAAATTTGCTTTCTTGACTTTTTAAACTTTCTAGAGGCTTTATTCCTGGGCATTCTTCCACAATGGTGGGTTGAGTTGTTACATTACATCACTTCAGGCCTTCATCTACATCACGTCTCTTACTGATTCACTTCTGTCTTCCTCTTCCATTTTGAAAGCCTTTGTGAGTATAATCCAATCCTTGTGATTACAGTAGGCCCACCAGATAATTTAGGATAATCTGTAAGGGCAGCTTATTAACAACCTTAATTCCATTTGAGATCTTAATTATCCTTTGCCATTTAAGGTAACATATTGACTGATTTCAGTGAGTAGGACATGGGCATATTTGAGGAGTTCTACCACAATTATATTTATATGTGGTTTTTCACAGTCATTGGTATCAACATTCTATAATTTCAAGTGAAATGTGGGAACTTCACTTGCATTTAGGTCCCTTTACATTCTCCACTTTCAAATATTGTTTTGAATGCTAGATTGTATGAAAATTTGTATTTAAATCATCAAATATGATAACTCATAAGGAAAAGGGTAATTAATGTATGTCCCCATATTTCTTCCCTTCCCATTGTCCCTTCTTTCTTTCTGGTGCTTCAGGATTATTTATATCAGCAATTCCTTTCTTCTGAAGAAATTTCATCTTAAAATATTTAAGAATGGGTCTGCTAATGAGCAATGTTTTAAGTTTTTCTTTGTTTGGGAATGTCTTCATTTTTTCTTTATTCTCAAAAGATAGTTTTGCTGGATATAAGACTTAGCACTGTTCTTTCTTTTAGCACTTGAAAAATGTGTCACTTCTTTTGGCCTCTGTGGTATCAGATGAGAAATCCATTGTGACTCAAATTGGTGTTCTTCAGTAGGTAATGCATTATTTTCTTTCTCTGCTTTCAAGATTTGTTCTTTGTTTTCAATTTTCTGAAGTTTAATTATGGTATGTCTTAGTGAGAATTTCTTTAGGTTTAGCCTGGTGAGGTTCACTCATCTTCTTGAATCTGTGTGTTTCCTTCACCAAATTTAGAAAGTTATCAATTCTTTAAATATTCTTTCATCCCCATTCTTTTTGTTCTCTTGCCTTTCTGATAACACAGATATCACATTTGTTCTAGTCCCACAGGTCCCTGAGGCTCTGTTCATTTTTTTTCCTCAATCTGCTTTCTATCTGTTGTTCAGATTGCATAGCAGATTGACCTGTCCTCAATTACAGATTTCTATCCTTTATCATCTCCATTGTACTATTGAACATTTCCAGTGAGTTTTGTATCTGTTATTTTTCATGTATGTAATTTCTACTTTGTTTTCTTTTATGGCTCCTATTTCTTTGCTGATTTTTCTGTTTGTTTATTTTTTTCAAGGAACTCTGACTTTGAAGCATTTTGATGATGGCTCCTTTAAAATCTGTGTCAGAAAATTCTAGCAACTGATTCATCTCAGTGTTGGCATTAGCTGATTGTCTTTTTTCCACCAAAGTTGTGATTTTCTTTGTCCTTAGTAAATGGGTAATTTTCAGTCACATCCTGGACATTTTGTCTATTATGTTAGAATTTGAGTCCTATTCAAATCTTTAATTTTAGCAAGCAGTCACATTATTTAAGTTTTGGCTTTATGTATTCTGAGGCTGTGATTTGTTCATGATTTTTATATTTTCCTAATGACTTGTTTCTTTTTTTGTTTTATACATAAAATTGTATGTTGCCTTACAGACTGTTCTATAAGATTCTGTCAAGTTTGCCTCATAGACCCTTTGAATCTTGTGTCTTCTTTATATCTTCAATATTATGTTCTGTAGTATTTTATTTCATTTATTTAACAATAAACATTTATTATGAATATTATCATTATATCAAGTGCTCACTTATATTTACCATTTTCAGTTTTCTACATCTTATCATATCCTCTCCTCCCCCCACTTCTTCCATATGGGTTTAACTTCTATCTTGCTGAAATATAACCTTAGTGCCATTTCTCCAGTAGTTTCTCTCAGTTTGTTTGTTTCCTTGAAAATGTCCTTGTCTCTTCCTTACTCTGGAATATACCTTTAGTTCAGGATAGAATTCTACATTGCCAGTTATTTTTGCTCAGAACTTTGAAAATATTAATTCTCTTTTTTTCAGATAAGTTAATTGTTTTATTATTGCCAGTATAATTGTTCCCTGCAGATTATCTGTAGTTTTCTTATGGTTGAATTAATTAATTAATTAACCTAGCTATGTGTTTATTTATGCATGATTTATTATTATCATTTTCTAGGCTCAGTGATTAGTTAAAGTCTATTGAAAATTAAGCAACAATATTTGTGCTATTTCAAAATAAAGACTCATGTCTTTTTTTTTTTAATATAGAAAATTTAGCAATCAGCTGTTTTTCAAAATTCTCCCTTCAGAGCCAGTTAGACTTTATTTTCCAGAGCTTATTCTTGGAGCGTTTTTTAATGTGAATTGTAGGGGTGTTCCTTTACCAAGTGATGAGTACAAATTTATATCCCATGTTATCTGGAGATCTATTAGTCTAAGGAATTTATTTTTTCACCTAAGACCCATATACAAATAGGTAAGAGGAATTTTCTAAGTTCTTCTTTCAATGACAAAGAGAATTAAGGTCTCTGACTCTGCAGAGATTTTCATTTCAGACTCATCATTTAGCATCATATCTCCTGTTCCAGCATGAAAGTTGACACTCTAGCCCCTGTCTCCATGCTACATCCAGTTTGCAAGTCCCATTGGGACAGCAGGGCTTCAATCTTAAGGCTTGTCTTTAATTTCTCTTCATTTCTGTCTCCTGATATTTCCCCTTCCTTCATCTGACCTTGGTTGTATATTTAATTTATGGATTGTGTGCTCAGAATTTCTTTGTACTTGTAGCAGGAGGTGGGCTTATTCTCTAACATTTCAATAGGTCATCCTACCAGACATCAACTGGGCAAGTCTGAACGCCCACTGTTTTGGGTGAGGTAGACCAAAAAATTTTGTCTAAAGCTGGTCAGTCACTTCAAAGTAAGAAGCATTCCTTTATATCTTTTATATTAGAAATTGATGAGGCACACTGGAAATCCATTACCTTATTTGAGGTACTAAGCATCAAGCGTAAGGCAAGAAATTACTTGTGGCTTTTTAGTAGCAACATTTAACAGCATGTATAATTTTAATAAATGTATTTCTCATTTGAGGTACTAAGCATCAAGCATAAGGCAAGAAATTACTCTAGGCTGTTTAGTAGCAACATTTAACAGTTAGCATGTGTAATTTTAATACATGTATTTCTCACAGGAATATTTTATGCATTCCATGTTCTGCATAGTACTTGGGAAAACTCAGAGTCAGAACTTTCTGTATAGCTCAGACAATATTGAGTATAGGTGTAAGTTCAGCATCCTTGCCTCTTAAATATACTCAATTTTTAGTAGGGATATTTTGAATGAGAACTACTATGAGTTCACTCTGTATAGGATTGTTTAATTTTATAGTCATTCCTAAACAACCAGTGGAATTGAGAATTATATTAGTCAAACAAATTTATCTAGTATACTAATCAGATATTAAGGAACTTTATCATACTTATATGTGAAGTTGAAAAAGAAAAATTCTTTAATTGACTTAAATTTGAAAATTTTGGTTTGTAGATCAGTAAGTATTCACCAATTATTTGGCTAACTCTTCACCATACCCATGACTATCTGGCAGACTTTTACATTCCTCATTTTTAAGACTAGTTCAAAATTGACAAGAAGTAACATGTATTACTCATGTACCAAATAGCTGCATCTTAATGTTATTTACATAGGTAATGTTTACCTAGATTACATACATGTATATGTACATTCATATCTGCATACATATCAACACAAAGTTAAAATAATGTGAATTGCATTTTATGTTTTTGTTTTATAGCCTATTATTTTGTTCTTAGTATAATTGCTCTGAATAAAACTATGGAGAATGGCTATATTACATTTAAATTATTGAATCAGCTTGGAATGACTGAGTTGCCAAGGCTCTATGAGTAAGTATACTATAGTAGTTTTTTTTGTCCTTTGTAAAGTAAATGTTTGTTTTCTTCAGTTTGTTTGGAAGATAATCCAAATAGTATAAATTTTCTATCGAATGAATAATAAAGTGTTAGATATTAAAAGGATCTCAGGTGTTATATTTTAATTCATTGATTCTATGAAGGAAGATACTGAATATGAAGAAGACTAAATATCTTATTTGTGTTATACATCTAGAAACTAAGAGAGTTAGAAAAGAAGGGACTTATTTTTTCTATTTTAGCTCTCACTCAAGTGTTCTTCCTCTCAAACCACCTTGCCTTCTAATTCCCTCTAGTTTTTAGGCAGTTTTGTATTCATAGTGGTGTGAATAAATATCTAGTGACTTCTGTCAATAGAGTGGCCCAATTTCAGTATTTCAGAGAACCATTCCCAGCCACAATGCCCTAAATAATAGGAGAGGGTTTGTTTTTTGTTAAATTTTCATTTAACTTTTTATGTATGTATTCATATTTTTAAAGTTATCTAGAATGTATGTTTGTATGTTTAATAAATTATCAAACTGAGAAATCCATTTTCCCTTAAACAAAAGAGTGATGTAAAAGTGTATGCTACTATTACAATTGCACTCCAACCTGATGAGCTAAACTCCTAGAAATTCATTAAATAATGTAACTCTTCAAAAGTCTCACAGGTACAATCTCCAATGATGAAATACAAAATAAATTTCATTTTATTGTGCTTGAACTTAACAATAATTTGGTTTTAGACTAGTTACTTATGATATCATTAGAATTTCGGAAGGCACACTGGTATTTCCAACATTTGCTTTTATCACTGTTTATGTAGTTATCATATTTGAATTAACTAAATCTAATGTACAGTGGACTTCAGACAAGTACGTCATGACATCCAAACTTATTCAACTATCAATAGTGAACCAGGGAAAATCTCTGCATGGTTATTTATTTGCACATTAGTATCAGAAACAATGGTGGTGATGTATTTCATTTTACAGTATTATGAACCCTAATAAAACAATATAAGATCTAAAATAACATGAAAATATAAAATGTAGCAATAGCCTATAATACATGAAATTTGCTTTGTAAATTAAATTTTAAAACCTTCAAATCCACAAAGAAAAAATTATGAAAGAGTCCAATAGTAAAATATTGAGAATCTTTGTATTAAAGTAATGGAAAGACTATTTCATCATAGAATAACATTATTATAACCTTAGAAATGATATTCTGGGTTACAAGTCAGGCAAAATTTTGAAAATTGTGAGATAACCATTTTTAATATTAATCCTATAGATTTAATTTTCTTGAAATCAATAAAGGCCTTGCTGATAATTTAATCATCAGACAGACCTTGTAATACATGAGCACCAATTAGCCTTGCTTGTTTCTTAGATTTCAATCCAAATTCTTCACTTACAACAAAAACCATCTTTTATTAAGAGAAACTTTTAAGTTCTTTCCACCTAATTTTAGCACTTATTGAATGTGTTATAATAAATAATATTATTCCATAATAGCTTATTACTTTAAATTACTTAAAATGGTGTGTATATGCATATATGCATACACACATATATATGATCCATTATTCTCAGACATACTTCATTAGCTTTTGAATTTACTTATTTAACAAGTATTCTTCAGTACCAACCAAACTTATTCAGGAATTTCACCAAATAATGGGGATTCAAACTTAAATATCAACGTTATCATTCTCAAAGATATCAGAGATTACTAGGGGAGACTAATACATAATTGCAGCTCTGGGTAATAAGTTGTATAAGTACCAGAATATTTACATGCTATTGGAGTACAGAGGAAGGAAGGAAGCATTTGCTGTTGCAGGGGAGGTACCGCAGTCAGGGATAGAGAGAGGGTGCTTTCAAAGGCATGCATGTAGGAAACTACCTGAGTTCAGTAACAGCACACAGACTGCAATCCTAGAACAGGTATTTCAAACTTGTTCAGAAGGCAAAGAATTTATGTCTTGATTTCCTTTACAAACATAATGGTCTATGTAGAATATTGACAGATATTGATGCATTTTATTCAAACCCTTAAATTAGTACATTTTTCATAAAAGAATATAAAATATAGAACACATATACCTGGTAAATCTAGTCTGGCCAATGGCTTATAGTTTTTCTACTAATAATTCTTTGCTAAGAAATTTAATCATGCTTTTGGATGTAAATTGTCTTAGAAGCAAGGGATGTCAGAGAATTTCAAATGATTTTTTACTTCCCTTTTCAAAATTAAAATAAGAATATTTGTTTGCTGTAGGAAATGTGTCATATTGTAGAAAATGAGAATCATCTGTATTATATCATTCAGGGATATTCACATTTACCATTTGGTTTATAACTATTCCTTCTCCTCCACTGGTACTCCTTTTACTCTTCTTTCTTCTTCCTGTAGATTCCCCCTGGCACACACACATTATTTTTTATTTAGAAAAATTAGGCTCATTGCAAATATATTCTGCATCATGTTTATACCAAATGCTACAGTGATGATTGTTTTCTGTGTCACTAAAAATCACTTACACATTATAATATGATGCCAAATATATTAATACATCAATATAAGATTTTAAATGAAGTATCAATATTGGATATTTGGACTAGAATGATTCCCCAGTTGGATGAGTAGTGGGGAGATTAGAGTGGAATAAGTCCAGAGAGGTGGCTATTGTAAGAATTTATATCAAAGATGATGGTAGCCTGGACCAAGTCACTGAAAGTTGGTTTTTAGAATGTAGAATAGATGTGTTTTTATGACTAGTTCAATATGTGAAAGTGAAGAAAAAAAAAATCTAGAGAAACTTCAAGTTTTAAACTTGAGGAGTATTTAAATTACTGTGCCATTCACTGAGATAGGAGATACATGTCAAAGAGCCAATTTAATCATTTGATAAAATTTCTTGAGAGCATCTATAGGCTAAGCCTATACTAGAAATTAGAGATAAAATTTTGGACAAATTAAATTTCTCTTTACATAATTTCAGTTTGGTATAGCAGATGTACTTTACTAATACAAAATATACATAAAATAATGGCATTTTAATATTTTTTACTTTTTATCATTTTTATCATTCATCATTCCGCTATTCAAATAATTTTTAATGAGAATGTACATTGATCTAGGCATTGTGCTAAGTGCTATGGGTGCTGTGAAAAGAAAAACATATATGGTCCTACCCTCATTAAACTCACAGCCTAAAAGGATATAAAAGTAACCAAATAATTATAAAAATATGTTAGTAAAATGTGAAAAATGTCTTAAGCAAATTATAGTTGTATGGAAATATAAAATAGGAATGTGAGTCAGTTTGTAGGGTCACCAAAAGTTTCTCCGAGGACATTTCATATTAGTCAAGACCTAAGTGATGAGTGGGCCCTTTGTCTGTTTGGCTGCTTTCCAGGCAGATGGATGAACAAATGCGAAGGTCCTGAAGCAGGAGGGGGTATAGTCCATTTCAGGAGCTGAAGGGAGTTCATAATGTCTGAGAATAGAGGCATGGAAAGCAAGAGACAGAGAAAAGAGGTAGAGAGCACCTAGTTTTTGTAGCAACTAGAACTTGTAGGACATGTTCCAGGGTTTATATTTTATTCACTGGGAAAGTGAAAACCACTGAATTGTTTTAGTTGGGGAAGTCTGGTTGGAGCCAGGATTGGATTTTTATTTTTGAAAAAAAAATTGACCATTGTAGGTTTGAAAGGGAAAAGTGGATTCTTGCAAGAACCAATGGTGTTCTGAGATAGAATGCAGTGGAGTCAGAAAAATGAAGGTAGATTCTAAGCAGTTTAGGATATTTCATAGGTAAAGTCAGTAGGAATTTATGATAGATTAGTTGTAGGGGTTGAAAGGATGCTAGGTGAATCCTAGTTGACTGGCTTGAGTAATAGGTGGTAGTACCATTTTAAATGATAAGGAAATTAGTAAATTTTAGTATTTTTTTTTTGTGAGGTGGGTGCTGAGGAAGATGCCAAATAGATTTGAACCTAGTGAGCTATAATCATTCTTAAAATATCCAAGTAGACATGGTGAATAATAGTAGATATGTATGTATGAATCTCAGTAGACAGGGCTTTGCTAGAGGCACATATTTGGTGGTTACCAGCAAGCAGTTGGCATTTGAAACTATTGGAGCAGATGGAAATTCATGTGGGAAGACAAAATTCCCATATGGATACTGACTTTATGGTATCTCTGAGAAATCTAGCTTTTGGACAGAAACTGGGGATATGATCAATGACATTTTATTCTGTGAAAGAGGAGGTAGCACACTGCCAGCAGGGAGCAGAGATGGGCTTTGAGGGGGGTGATGACAAGTCTTTTTTGGCCCAGCTGCCCTGAAGAATCAAAACCAGGGTTGAGAAAGGGACAAATATAAGGTGGCACAAGTGCTGGATGCCCACTGGTTGCTCTTCAGCTGTTCTAGGTATGATTGTCACCTTTGCCTAAATAAGGAACAAATTGGAGGGGGAAATTATTTCAATGGATCTTCTGAAAAATTTCCTTCCTTTCTCTCCTCTTTCTCCTCTCCTCTCTTCTCTCCTTCCGTCCCTTTCATTCCTCCTCTTCCTTATCATCTTCCCCCTTCTTCTCTTTTTCCTTCTCCTTAGTGTTCCCTTTGGGGGTCAAGCAGACCCATGTTGACCTAAATGACTGCCAGCCACCACATTTCTGGCACATAGGGATGAGGAATTGAGTGGAGTGGTTGAAGAGTATTAACCTGCCTGTGTTTGCATTCAGTCTTTTTCACTAGCTTAGGAAAGGCACTTGTTTGCTCTAATACTGAGGTTTTTTTTTTATCTGTGAAATGGCACCACTAATGGTACATAATAAAAGGAGTTGTTCAGATAGTTCAATGAGATCAAATATGTCAAGCTTTATCACAGTTCTGAGGACCTTGTAAATGCCTAGGAAATTCTACTTATTAAATACTAACTTTATTTTTTATGTTGATCCTTAGGCTTTTGTAATTACTCCTTTAGTTCACAAATATTTTAAAAAATGGCACAGAATGATAAAGGATTATTATTTGAGTACCCAGTCTCTTCTAAAGAACTGTGATAGTTATTCATGGGTCTAAAAGAAATATAAGATTGCTTCTTTCATCTTCAAGAAATGTAAAATCTACATACCTAGTCAGAAAAGTGCCCCACTTTTTTCCTAAAAAGTATTTCCAAAATACTTGTGTATGAGGATGCATATATTATTTTTCTGTTTGTTCTAAATTACTGTTTAGGTTATTTTAATAAATACTTTGACAAATACTTATTGTTTGGCCTTTTCCCTATAAAATTGTTCTCCCTATCCTGCATTGTTAAGATTATATTGATTTTAGAGTTAAATTATATTCTAAATCTCTAATATGCTGAGTAATGTCAAGTTTTCTGTTTAGGAAGAACAAAGCATTTTATAAATTTCAAGAAGTCAAGATTCTTGCCCAATTTTTAAATGATGTAAATATTTCAAGCATTGCTTTGGCATATTTTCAGAGCTCAAATCAGCAATGTTCCACATGCAAATACCGCATCCGGTGTCTCATGTTAAAATCACTTACGTATCCAGAAAGGTAAGAGAACTAAATTTCCATTTCAGTTATCTTTTTTTTAAAATTAATTAATTCATTTATTTTGGTATCATTAATCTACAATTACATGAAGAATATTATGTTTACTAGGGTCCCCCCTTCACCAAATCCCCCCTCCCCACAAACCCCATTACAGTACTGTCCATCAGCACAGTAAGATGTAGAATCACTGCTTGTCTTCTCTGTGTTGCACAGCTCTCCCCATGCACCCCCACACATTATACATGCTAATTGTAATTTCCCCTTTCTTTTCTCCCACCCTTATCCCTCCCTTCCCTCCCTTTCTCCCCAGTCCCTTTCCCTTTGGTAACTGTTAGTCCATTCTTAAGTTCTATGATTCTGCTGCTGTTTTGTTCCTTCAGTCTTTCTTTGTTCCTATAGTCTTTGGGTTTGAGGTGAGTCTCTTGTAAGCAGCATAGA